CGCGGCCGGCGGGTGCGGAGGGAGCGGCGAGGCCGGGGCAGGCCCGGAGCAGTGCTGCTGACGCTGCGGCCCGGGGGAGCTGGGAGCTTCGCTAGCAGCTGCCGGTGGGTCTGCGTTCCCGGTTCTTGTCCTCCTGCACCTCGGCCCTTTAAAGCCAGCTGTGCTCACTGGTCGGTGTTGTGGCGTGAGGAGCTGCACGGGTCTCCCCCGCTCCAGCCGCCCGCTTTCCCCAGGGGGGTCAGTCCCGGCGTTGACCGTCCCAGCGGCAGGCAGTTGCCTCTGTCGCTAAACTTGCCACTTATGGTCTTCCATAAGTTTTGAGTCTGCCTTGCACCCAAGCGATCCGTACTGCAGAAAACCTGGTGGAACGAACTGCTCTGCGAGTGGCTTTCTGGTCGCATTGCTGCACTTGTTCTGTGTCGCGTTACTAGCGCCAGAGCCAGCCTCTGGCCGTAGGGCTGTTGTGGGGTGTGTTTGCTCTGGGCAGCGATAACCAAGGCCCTCCCCTCTTTCAGGGGAGCTCATGGATCTGATCCGGACGGAGGGCCAGAGGATGACGGCAGCCCAGCCATCCGAGACGACTGTGGGCAACATGGTGCGGCGAGTGCTGAAGGTCATTCGGGAGGAGTATGGCAGGTGAAGCGCCCCTCTCTTGCTGTCTGTACTCCTCCTAGGAGCCTAGAATAGCCCTCCCACGCAGTGTGTTCTGCTGCTTCTGTGAGACCCCTTTAGTTTCTATCACCCCGTTTTCCTACCGTTCCTAGGGGACCTACAGAGGGATTCCACGAGTTTAACACCAAAGGAAACCTGTCGTTTTCAGCGTAGCTGGTGACATTTCCTCTAGGGAAACTCCACTTGGCGTATGTGTTGTGGGTGCATGAGAACAGTTTGTGCCCTGACCTCACGCTGTTCTCTACTTGTGTTCCCAGGAGGGTCCATCCTGCTGAGGCAGCAGCCTTGAGCCTGCTTCTCATCTGTGGGCTGCAGCGTTTGCACATGACTTAGGAAGACGCTTCCTGGCAGAGGTTCGGGTGCCTTTCTGCCAGAGGCAGCTAGGGAAGCTCTGTGGCGTGGTGTGGTGTGCCTCCGGCGTGTGGTTTTCCTTCCTCTCTGTTCACATCCAGGTGTGCTGCACTGTGGGGATGCCAGTCAGCCTGGCCATGCCCCTGTGCTCTCTCCCAAGGCTGAAGGGCTGCTTCTCTCCGCAGGCTTCACGGGCGCAGTGAGGAAAGCGACCAGCAAGAATCCCTGCACAAACTCCTGACTTCCGGAGGACTGAGCGAGGATTTCAGCACCCCTTATCCTCCCCTCAGAGCTAATGTTATTGAAGCTATTAATGAGCTGCTAATAGAACTAGGTATGGATGGGTCTGAACTGCCCCATGAGTGGAGCTTCTTATGGGATGGGACAGATGCTTCCCCCTCCTCTTAGGTGGAAAGAAAATAGCAAGGCTCTGGGAGGCTGAATCTGAAGGAACTAAGGAGCTGAAGTCCTGCTGTTCCCAGGACTTAAACTAAGCCCTCTTTGGCTTACAAGGAGATGGGTGGAACATTGCGGAGGGAACAGTATGGGAGGCTATTGGCCTGTGCTCTTGGTCTTCTGGGAAGTCTTGAGCTGAGTCCTCTGAAGAAGAGTATCAAAAATATGCCAAGGTTGGACTTAATCCCTATGCACGTATAACCTGGCCCTTGTCACAAAGCACTGTGATATGCTTTTCTTTTTCTGCGACCTTATGAGAGATGAGGCACCCAACTCTCCTTCTGAGGCGCAGGTTGTCCTGCCTCTCTTTTCTACGTGGTTCTAGTGCTGTTGAACTGTAAAACCGTTGAATTCTGTCACTAGTTGTTGTATGGGCATGGTGGTTATCTGGAGTAGTGCTGATACAATCTACTCCCCTCATGATGGAGTTTTCAATACAGGTTTTTCTATCTGTAGCTGGGGAGCACAGGGCATTTGGGGGCCAGCTTCTTGGTCCCTCTCCACTGGTAAAAAGAACAGGGAGAAAAGCTGCTCCTGCTTTACCAGTGCTCATAGCATTGCTTTAGTGAAAAATGACTTTGTTGGAGGACAGCCCTAGCAGCACAAGTGTTCCTTTTCCTGGCTGCTTTTCCACCCACGGCTTCCTTCTGTTACAGAGGGCACCACTGATAATATCGCTATGCAGGCGCTGGAGCACATCCACTCCAATGAGGTGATCATGACAATTGGCTACTCACGCACAGTTGAGGCCTTCCTGAAGGAAGCTGCCCGCAAGCGGAAATTCCAGGTCATCGTGGCAGAGTGTGCGCCATTCTGCCAGGTGAGGCCCGAGCTGTCTGTCTGCTCCAGGTGCTGTGTTGTCCTGCGCATTCTGCTGAACTCTTGTCTCTGGAGGCAAGCTGAACATTACAGAAGTTCCTCTGCAGTGGAGAGATTGAAGACAGCTCGTTCTCCTACCCAGTGTCCTTCAGTCGGAGGGCTGTATTTGTGTTCTATCACTTGGTATTTTTGTGGTTCAGACAAGAGTTGAGTGCTAATATCTCTGCAACTGCATTGCAGGACCTATGTTGCAGGGGACCAATTGGATTCTCCCTCTTTTTAGGGTCATGAAATGGCTGTCCGACTGTCTAAAGAGAACATTGAAACTACTGTCATGAGTGATGCAGCTATTTTTGCTGTCATGTCTCGAGTCAACAAGGTAAGGAGAGCTCTGCTGGAGGAGGGAGTTCATAGCAGATTTCAAACCAGCTGCAGGTCCCAGCAGTGATGGATGTGTTTCTTCACTGAAAACTCAAAATTTTAATAGTCCCTATTTACAGCTGGGGTGGAGATTCAATATGGAACCCCAAGACAGTGTGATGACTAACTGCATGGTGATAGGTTTTTCTGCCTTAGTGGCTAACAGGCAGAACAGTTACAAAAAAAACAAGCCAGGAGAGCCTCAAAGGATTAACTTAATGTTTTTTTTAACAAGATGGAACAAACCCCAGCATTTCCAAAGGGGAGAAATTCCCCTTGTGTGGAACACAAGATGGGTGGTGAAGGGAATTGCCAAGGTGTGTCTTTTCAAACAGACCTGTTCTGTACTTTTATAGAGATGAAGACTTGGCACACCAAACCAAAAAAAAAGTACTTATAATAAAATCCAGCCACACCACTTCTTTTCTATATATTTTAAGCTCTTTATTCGTGTTTTACAGCAAGAGAATTGCTGCAGCCAGCAGTCAAGTTACTTGTACAAAGCTTACTTTGCAGGCTTGTAGAACAACAGGGAACACAGCCCAGTTTCTGCTTGGTGTTCCCTGCAGTAGAAGATACATTTGTCCTCTGAAGTTCTCTGTGCTGGCCTCACCATGCTGGAGTCAACTCTTGTTAGAGAGGAACGTCTCAGTGCAGAGTCACTGCCAGATGAAACAGGTCAGGCATCCAGCTGCCCTGTAACTCCAGCCTTTGGCTGGCTGGCTGTTCTGACAAACTCCTCCTCCAGCTCATCCGGCAGGGTCCAAGCCAGGAAGCATTTCTTCCCCAGTTTGCCGTGGAACATGCTATTTAATGCTGATTTGCCTTTTAAGGTCATCATTGGTACAAAGACAATCCTGGCCAATGGCGCCCTGATTGCTGTGAGTGGGACTCACACTCTGGCACTGGCAGCTAAACACCACTCCACTCCACTCATCGTGTGTGCCCCCATGTTCAAGCTTTCACCGCAGGTAAGTACAGCAGCTCTTCAGGACTGCACCTGCTTTACATAGAGATGGGGGCTGATTTTATGCTTGTGGAAGTTTAGGGTGGAGAGCACCATCTGTCCCAAGGTGTGGTTGGTAAATGAGCCGTCTCCCCCATCGAGTGTTGTTACTTCAGATAGGAGATCCTCACCCAAATCTGTCACACCTCAGGATCTCCTTGAAGCACCCTCCTCTGCCACATGTGCTGAGTAAGCAGTGCATTGGGTATAAGGATGTAGACCACTGCCTATGGGAGACTGACATCACTATACTTACTCTTCTTCAACCATAGTGGATTTCAATTTATATTGTTGAAAGATCCTGTGTACTGACAGAGGTAGATGGAGATGCTCTAAACTGTTTCTTACACTCAGCACTTTTTCATTATTGTCAGATGAAGTTGCAGACTGAGGAAGTCACTCTACTCCAGTTCCCTAGGCTTTGCAGAAGGGCAGCCAGGTTATAGAAGGTGCTAAAAGCTCTGAGGAAAAACCCTGCACCTGTAGATGTTACAGAGGTTCTAGGCACAGGCACTACGTAATTATTGTAAACAGATGTAGTATCACCTGGCAAGTCATCTTCCTCTGCTTTAGTTCCTTCCAGCACCCAGGATCTGTTTTCACTAGGCTAATGAGGTAGTCTCTTTTTTTTTCCTGACCTTCCTGTAATCTTTCTCATTCAGTTCCCTAATGAAGAAGATTCATTCTACAAGTTTGTGTCACCACAGGAAGTGCTGCCATTCACAGAAGGTACTGGTTCTTCACACAGGCTGGTCAAGCTGGTTCAGGCTATAATTTAAACTTTTTTTTAGTGGCTTACATAAAATTTAAACATAAGACTGTCCTGTAACCCAAGACAGAAAATCCTTTCCTGTTGTCTTAAGCAGAAAAAAGTGCTGGGAACCATCCTAATTTATACGTAACTTTCTATTACAGAAAAGACATAAAAAAGGATTTCCTTTGAACGCTATCTCTGTGCTTTTGCTTTTGCTCTGAAATAGTGTTTTATTATAGGATTGTGATAATGGTGCCAGGCAGGTGGTGGTTTCCTGTGGGACGGAGCAGATGCCCAACACCAAGGGCAGCTTCCTTTCCTTCCTACAACTCATGTTAACTTCTTGAAACTTTGTTATGTGATCAACTTGTTGAAATCCAGTATCTCTGCCATGGGCTTCCCACACAAGCACCATCTTCAGAAAGGTGTCAGCTCCCAAGCCCATTTTCAGATGGCTAAGTCTCTTTCAAAGCCCTGTTTCTATGTGACAAAGACTTTTTAAATGAAGATACCGGGTTTGGCAAAGGTTTTTTGATTTTGGCCTTCTGATTCTGGCCTTTTCTTTAAATAACAACTTTGGCAGCATCAGGATTCTTGTATTCTAATTACATACTGGCAGGGGTTTTTGGAATTAGTAAATCTACATCAGAGGGGATCTGGGGTTTTTATCAGTAAAAACTACCAAAAGAGAGTGCTGCCATTCATCCAAGACTGCTGTATACCTGTAATTCAATGACATCAGTGAGGAAGTTGGAAAGTATTCAGGATGTTTCAGTATTGACTTCAGGGTGGCATGTGCATAGCCAGTTTCTTCAGGGGCTCAGGAAGATGTGCAGAAGGCTAAATGTACTTTGAGTTGCTTTGTCTAATATTGCTGCTGTTCACTTTACAGGGGAGATCCTGGCAAAGATCAATGTTCACTGCCCAGTGTTTGACTACGTCCCTCCAGAGCTCATTACTCTCTTCATTTCTAACATTGGGGGTAATGCACCTTCCTACATCTACCGCCTCATGAGTGAGCTCTACCATCCAGATGACTATGAACTCTAATGCAGTGAAGCACGTCACTCTCCAGACTCTTCCTATCTTTCTCTTTAGAAAGATACAACAGCTAATTAAAGTGTACGTTGCAAGGACAAGTTGCTGTGGGGAATTTGCTCAGCAGTGTCTCTCCTACCCAAAAACAACAGAAGGCAGAGCTTTTGTACAGGTTTTGATTTCTCTGCTGTGTTAGAAGCCACATGGAGCTGCTAACCCACTTTGATTTTGAAACAGCAAGGCATATGTTTAACTCTGGGGCAGCTAAGCTATTAATTCAAAGTATGCTGCAATAAAGGCTGTTTACAGTGATCTCACTATTAAGCATGTTTTCCATATACACTTATTTTGTTTCTTTAACTAGCAGGATTTTTACCAGTGTAGTGAGTTGCCTGCACCTATGATGCAGTAGCAGGCTTTAAGGTGTGCTTTCGCATATGAGTGTGATAGGAATATATTGGCAGTTGTCTTCAAAATGGATTTCTTTGGTAGAGTTTTCTGACAATTTTTGGTGAGTTGCTGAAATACAAACCAGCTTTTTGGACAATGCTAGAACAAAAATTCCATCCTTGATGAAAGGCAGACCTTCAGAAGTACCACCAGCTAGCTTGTTCACCACTGTGTCAGAAGGCAGAGCTCAAGCTCTTGCTTCGCTTATTGTAGTCTGAGGGTCTTCTCCTGTACTAGTTGAGTGACTGTGATTATTCTTCTTGGGTGGACATCTTGTCTCATTTGGAAAGTTCTTGATTTTTGTGAGGGGCAGCATGGAACATTTTGGAAATCTCAGGCTCTTGCAGGTCAGTCAGATCACTTTTCCTTAGTCCCTTTTATCAATGTGTGGCATACACTACACCACAGTTAAATCATTGAATGAAAGTAGTTTCCACTCCTTGTTTTGCTTTTGATTCAGCAGATGTCAGTATCTTTCTGATTTGGTTTTAAGTAAGTTGGATGTCTGTGATTAAACAAAAATGTCATCTTCTTTTACTCTTCTGAAATAAACTCTACTCTACCTTAGACTGAGACACAAAATAGAACTGGAACTCATAAAAAAAAGTCTGCCTATTGTAAAAAATGCTGTGGGCTATTTAGTTATTTCTGTGGGGGTAAGTTTCTGTACCCTGAGAATGTGGGGCTATGCTAGGATTTAGAAATCTGTCACTCAAGAATGCAAACTGCAGGGAGCTGGAGAAACAGCTGAGTGTGTCATTCATTGCCTAGTTAAATAAAAATGTTTTTTGATCCTAAGTTGGCCTATGTATACACTATGAAGCTGGTTGGTCCTCATTCCAACTACTGCCATGAGCTCAAGGAAAGTTTACTGTTAATTTTATTAATAAATACCTCCCCATTTTCAAAGCACTATAAAATACATTAATTGAAAGTCTCCTCTCTTACACAGAATCATGCTGTGCTTGCAGAGAAAATGCACTTCAGTAACTGCAGGTGGCTGCAACTTCTTGTCTCCAACAGTCAAACACTGACATAAGGCCCAGGCTTACAATGTAACCCCTTAATGTTGAAGACGCTTGTGCAGGCTACAAGGGTGAGCTCCTCCAGCCACATTCTCCTGGCTGGACTCTGCTTCTTAGGTCAGTACTGGGAGCAGAACTTTGGTGACTGTGCTGGCTCAGAAACTTCGCTCCACACAGGGTATTGTTGTCTAACAACAGGGGGACCTGGATCATACCAACACTTCTAATGGTTGCATCTTACAGTCTTAACTTTTTTTGATTAGGGTCTTTTTTTTTCCAAATAGGTGCCACGCTCGTGCCATCTTCCGCAGTCTAGCCAAATTAGGTTTAGGCTGGAGGGAGAAAAATTAAGCAGCACTAAATCATAACTAAGTAAATTAACTTCAATGTCTCCATACTCTTTGCCCTAATACAGTCATTCCCAAGTTTTTTTAATATCTATTTCAAAGTTCCACGTGACTTTCAACAGTATCCCAATTTCATAACTTAATATATCATAATAATAGTAATAGCAAAAGGGAAGGAGTAATTTTTTTTTTATTATTATTTAAATGTTGCTATTTCTTTGCTTTTTTCCCCCATTTTATACTGTCTTAAACTTTGGGGAAGTAGGCGTTTGTTTAAGTAGCATCTTTGCCACTAGTAGAATATAAGAATTTACATGTTTTCCAAGTTTTACCCTTAAAAACTGCAAACACTTTAAATATATGCTTAACTTTAAGGACTAGTGGACCCCATTCAAGTCAATATGACCATTCAAATGAAATTAGCAAAGATCTTGCCATAAGTGTTTGCAGGACAGTGGTTTAATGTTCTGAAGTTTTATTTTATTGGTAACAGCTATGTAAAAATTCAAGTAAGATACAGCCAGCGGTGATGGTTTCAAATTGGTCCATTGTAGTGCTAACCCATGCATACATGAAATGCCTCTGATAATCCAGAGTGTGGATTATCAGAGGCATGTCGGTGTCCCAAACAGTACCTGCTTTTCCTGCTGTAGATGGTCTATGTCTGCAAGAGGCATCATGGAAGGTCTTCCATGAGCACACTGGAAGGGCAGCTGGCAAGATGACAAAGCTTCAATAAGCCTGCAGCTCTCCTCCACGGTCAAACGCTCATTAAACTTAATAGCTCCTGAAAAAAAGATAGAACTTCTCACACATGCTGCCAAAGAGACTTCAAACCACCCAGCGGACTTCCCTCCACAGCTGTGATTTTCACAGAAAACAAGGCAGCTCCCAAAGATTAGCTGTGAGGCTGCAAAGGCAGCCCAAAGGCTGCAGTAAGGCGGCCTTAGGGCTTAGCTCAGTTAACCAGCCTGCTGCATAAGGATCAGCTTTCCATGGCCTAAACTTTCACGTAACCCAAGTCTGATGGATGGTAAGATGATTAGTTTTTGGCTTTTCAGATGACATTGCAAGAGGCAAATGGGCTTTTTTTTTTTCTTTTTTTTGTGTGTGTGTGTTGCAGCTGAAGATGCAACCAGTTCACAAATCAAAAAGTATTAAACCAAGATGACAGCTAATATCAGTCCCATAGGCTTTATCAGTTCTATGTGCCTGCCACTAACACGCATCAGTTCCAAGAGCAAACGCCAGCCCTGCCACTAAGTCCTTCCTCACAAGTGAGCACTTAATGGCATCCAGAGGAAATCCAAGCAGAACATTAGGGAGTCATTTCACAGGTGTTTGCAATCTTTAGCCTTCACAGGTGCACAAGACCATCTCCAGTCTGCCTTTCAGCCATGGGACTTTTTTTAGATATTAAAAAAAAATATATATATTGTCTGCCACTTGTAGAATGCAGTGACACTCAGTGAAAATGGATGCTTTTGGTTCACATTTACCCCTTCAGCGTAATCTTGTTAATACTGTATGTGGCACAGGAACTGCCACAAGAGGCTAGAGCTACTGCAGTCTACACTTGTAAGGTCTGCTCATTTCCAGGTGCTGGTAAGCCGTAGTCCCTTAGAAGATGTAAATTCTTACTGCACTCCTTCCAAAAATACTTGAAAGGTCACAGGCAAACTTAAACTAGCACTTTTGATACTTATATGAAATAAAAAATGCTTTTTGGGAAGAATGTCTAAGTCTTCTTTCTTGCTTGCTTTAAAGCACATTCCAGGACCTCCCCTTGCCCCATCACAGAGCTGCTGTTTGGATGGTTTAGAGCTTACAGGGATGACTGCATCTCAGAACTGTATTCTATCTGTGTTTCATCTGAGGGTTGGAAAGTACATTAGGCCCATACATGAATAAATCAGAGCAGTATTGCTGTCCCTCACAGTGCTATCCATGAAAAGACCATTATCTCCTCATCCCTATGAAACACACAGCCTGTAATCCTGGAATTCCTGCAAACACATTCTGAAACCACTGCCCCAGGAAGGATATTGTGTAGAGACAGAAAGGTTTTAAAAAAAAAAAAAAAAAGAAAGAAAGAAAGAAAGAAAGAAAAGTACAGTTTCCCTACCATGACAGGCCTGGGAAGCTAACACCTTCAGAAACGTCAGAGGCAGTGTCCCTCGTGCTCCTCCTCCTGTGGTCTGCACTAGCTAAAAGTATTAAGGGAACATCATCTCACTTTCCATTTAATATGAGAAAAAGGAAAAACTGTAACACAAAGCTAAAATGAGGAAAAACTAGTGGATTATCTAGTCCACCTCTCTCATTTGAGGCTTAACACACTCCCTTTGGTTCATGCAGTAAGCTTTGCATTATTATAGTCAACTTTAGAAGCAGACAGTAACTCACCTCAACTTGTTCTTGAATAAGCTCCTGCAAAGAAAAAGGTAATATCATCAGTTGCTATTTCTCCCTTTCATTGCGCACACTCTGCTTTGTCCCCATCTGTGTATAATTTACTGTGTAACTGCCAGAACCAGGAAAAATGATGCTGTTGCTAGTACACTGACCACAGTGTGAAAGATCTAGGTGCAAGTCCTGACCTCTCACAACTATCTTACCAGACTATAGACTAATCACTTAGTTTTTCTCTGCATCAGTTTCCTATCTGTAGAATGGGTATAATGGAAGTCTTATACCTCAGAGGGCAATGAATGCGTGTTATCTTTGCATAGCTGCCCTTTCTTCTTTGGATAACAGTCCATGTGGATTTCATTTATGAAATGAATTCATAATCAATCATGAATGGGTGCTACCAGTCCTAATTAAAAAAAAAAGGATTGCAGAAGAGATCTGCCAAAACACTCAGATCTTGAGGCATCAGCTAAGAATAAGTGCTTGTGAGGCACAGACCTGATACCCTCCTCCGCCACTTTTAGTGCTCTTGGCTCCCAAATCACACCAGGATAGTGCATTTTGAGTTGTTCCCAATTATAGCAAGGTTGGAAAAGAAAATTTAATTAGATGAATCATCTCTGATGGATGGCAAGACTGGACTGATTCACAATGGCTCAGCCTAGTGGCTGAATATGGTACTCCAGAAACAATTTTTAAGGAGTCCTTGAAGCAGTTATGATTGCGGGGAATTATTTACAATGGAAACTGCAAGTAATCTGTTCAGCAATTTCTTCCTCAAACCGCACAACATCTGGAACAGCAGCTTTTAGAAAGCTGCACTCCCCACGTAGAGAATTCATGAAAACAACTTTAAATTCTAACAAATAATATTTCTGTATCGGCAATATTAATCATTTTACTGTTCATTCAAGCATTCATGAGCAGTAAACTGTTGAAATATCTGTACTATATACTATTTTTCTTAGCTTCTCCACTAGTCAAAGTCTGAAACAGTCTCCTATAGTTTCTGTTATAGTTCAGGGATTTCAGTTGTGGGAGTATTTAGCTACTGAAAGGGATGGCACCCACATTTGCCAAGGGACTTCATTGT